CTTGAGGAAATTTTTAGGCTACTGAAGAAAATTTACATGTGACTCAATTGAATGAATTACAAGATTTTGATGGAAAAACTTCCTTGTGTCATAACTTTACAATCAACTTTAAAGCTTCAGGACAACAGTTAGATTTAGGTAATAAATGACACTTAATGTACATTTATATTGAAAAAAATACTTTAATATGTATCCACTTTGAAAATTCACTTCAAAAATTGTAATTGTAATTTGTCTGACTGTTAGTCTGTACAGCATATACAGTATTTACATTATAGAATGTGATGTCGAGTTTCTTTGTACCTTCACGAAATTACACAAGTTGATCTTAATAGACATACAAATAAGGTACTTTTCAGTCCAGCACTTCCATTCAAAATACTGTACTGTGGTCGCTATAAAACATGGAAACAGAGAAGAATCATACTTTTGAGTATTTTAAATACTGTAGAAACAAGTATCTTTAATTTATATAAATATTAAAGAATTTTATTTACTCATAGTTTCTCCATATACAGTGGTCCCTCGGTTAACGAATTACCTTCCATAAGAATATTCAATAAGGTTAACAAACAAAAATTCGGTTAACGAAATTCTTACGGAAATGTTTCAACATGCTTTGGCTTGCTCACCAGCTGGAAGATCAGTCCGCCAATACAGAAATCGGTTCTAGGGCTTGCATTCGTTAAAATTGGAGTAAATATCAAGAAGGTTGTACTATTCAATCATTTTCCAAGGTTTATATAATTTTTTTAGTCATTTTAGCGTTTATTTAACATAATTGCAGTACAGGGAACTAGTTTTTGGTGTGCCCAACAGCCACTTCACTCACCCACCAAGGCCTCAGTTGGTGTCTCTGTTCAGTGGAGGAAACATCTTGCTTGTGGGTCTCTTGAACACAGAGTATTTTTACGTTTTTACAGTACAATTATTGGTCATTCTGAAATTTATTTAACATATTTAGTGTAGTGCAGTGTTGATTTAAAGAAAATAATCTTGAATTACACCTAGTGAACTTAAAATTTTATGGGTGAAATGACGGCATGAAGCATGGGGTGATTTCTCTTCCACCCCCTCTTCCTTCTCTTCTCCCTTCTCCTCCACCCCCACTTCTAATTCCCATCATCATCATCATCAACTAAGAGCCTTCTACATACACACCTCAAAGTAATGTACTTTACTGCATTTTTTTTTTACTTTGTATGTAATTTTCGGTGAGCTGGAACCAATTATCCAAAATCCCATTGAAACAAAGGTTTCGGTTAACAAAATTTGAAATATTAATCATTATTATCACTGTGATAATTGCTTCTAATCTGTATCTTTGTGGCAGGGCTTTAGCACCGAGGTTCTCTTAAAGCCCCACTCTGCTACATTCGTACATAGGCCTATTTGTCTGGTGCCAACCACCGGACTCTCTCATTTAATTTCTTCTGACGAAGAAATTTACCCCTCGCTGGGATGACTTCCTTTATGATCACATCTACTAATTGTAATCTAAGTGAACTAAGATGTGTGAGTGATCATGCCCTTGTGGTAGACTAATGTTATTAAAAAAAAAAACTTGGCTGCTCTGCTGCTGGCACCCTCGGTCGTCCTGTGTTGCCGTCCAAGACAGTTTGACCTTTTTTTTTTCTCCTCGATGATTTGTTCGTATCTCTGTGTGCTATCACTATATACACTGTATCTCCCTATGAGGGTTGGTGGATCATAAGCACAATCACATTTCTTTAGAAAACACGGAGAAAAAATTAAAACTTTGTTTGTGGTGGCAATAAATGCCATTCAAGAGAGCTCTGCTAGTTTTTTCTTCTTTTTTAACTATTATTTACTTATGTTCTCTTCTCCAGTTCTCATCAATGAATATATATCTATGTGCTGTCACTGTGTACACTGTATCTTACTATGAATGGTGTATCGTAAGCACAATGTCAGTACAGTACCTGAGAAACACACACACTTTCTTTGTGGCACCAAAATAATATGACTTGGTTTACTACTGGCAGTGGTGCCTAATTGCTTGTCCCAATTTGTTTTTCACTTCAATTTATTTTCAACCTTCACCGTAATCACTGTTGTCACCATGGACTGTCTTGGCTAGAGGCACAGTACTACATTTTCTAATCAGCCTTTGGATGATCAATCACAGCCATGCACACATCTCCTTTAAAATTTTCTGGATAACTCTTGTCATCTGGCAATGATTTTGCGGTTGTATACCTCCTGGCATATTCCTCCTCTCAGTAGAGAGTGTTTTTCAATATACATTCATGAATAACATTAAAATCTGACATCGATTTACACATTCACATCACTAAAACAATCTTGATTCTCCTATGTAATCACTGTCCCATTTCTGCCACTCAACAATGAAGGCCTGAGTGCTAACATGCTTTGTTACAGACACGCAACACACACGACCCGCATGACCCTAATCCTCTATCCTCTTCTCAAGTATGAGTTAACCCATGACTGCTTGATACTTCTTGGTGTCTTCTTTCTTTTTACTAGTACAGTAATTCCTCACTCATTGTCAGGGGTAAGTTCCTAAAAACACGACGTTATATGAAACAACATTAAGTGGATCAATTTTCCCCATAAATAGATAAAATATGCTAGTTACGTTCCTGAGCCTCCCTTTGCCCCATGAAATACACTACATATACAGAAAATTATTGCCATCTCTATAGAAAATAGTGTGTACATATTCAACTACTTAGTTTGTATTGGTCCTCACCGATGGGTGGAGGTGGTAGAGTGAGTGTGTGGTGGATAGTGAAGCAGAGGAGGCAGATGGTGGAAGGGGAGGAGTATGGCGGGAGAGGAGGGGGGTGATGAGTCACTGAGAGAGCGTAGCGCGGCCAGACGAGAGAGGGTGATGCACCTTAAAAAGTAGTCAGTGACAACTTAAAGCGATGTTGTACCGAGTCATCGGGACGTTAAACGAATTTTTGGTATCTACAGATTAGCAACGTAGTACCGAAACAACGTTACCCGGTAAGCGGGCCGACATTATACGTGGACTTACTGTATAACAAAAAAAACAACATATATTTCCATAGGAAATTTATTTGAATCATTTGCATTAACATGACTGATAATTGAAAATCATTCATCATAACAATGTTGGCATATTCGAATTAAATAATGAGGTTAAAATTTTCCATTATATTTCTCTCAGTAAACCATTGATCCATCATCTCTTCTTTATGATTTTGAATACCATGTGATGATATTTAAAATGCTGCTAGTCAGAATGCAATATTAAAAGTTGTTAAAGTTCAATCAGCAGCTTTAGCTGTTGCATTTTACTCTGTTTAAAATAACTACCCTGTATCTGTACTGTGTATGCCTGATGAATCAAGCAGTGTATTAAAACACAAAGGACAATACAATATAATACAGTACAGTACAGTACTTTGATGTAGGACATCTTAGGAGCATTTACTGTATTATTATGTATAAAACCTTTAGATCATGCACCTCACACATTCATCATGATGCCTGTAAAATAATTTTCTTTTGTTTTAAAATATCAATAATTTTTCTTGGTCAACTTTTTAAGAAATTGTCAGTTGAATTAACTTGAAACTTCTCATGTTTTGTCAAATTTCTGTATCTTTAAATGTTGAACTAATTGATAGAAAAGTTCTCCATATTTAGATAACAGAATAAAAGTAACAAAAATAATGAAGTCTGCAGATTAATGTAAACAAATTTCATCACTGGGTGCCGGATTTGAACCGAGGCCACCACGGTCGGTAGTCAGACAGCTTGTCCAATGGATCACTGTTAGTCATCAGGGATCACCACCAGGGCTCTTAAATTAGTGGGTCTACCATAATTTGCTTTCATACCACTACACTTTATTTTTATGCTACACTTCAAAATTTATTGCAAGTACAATTTTATATGTTCAATGTATTTTGCAGATTCTTTGGAGATGACATTAATCATTAACCCCACTGGTGCTTATTTCGTGTCTGTTTATAATGTAAGAAACAAATGATTTATTATGTAATTTTGTTTGTTTGCCGTCATGACGACACACCTCATTGATGCCACTAGCCCTTGATTTTTTTTCTCTTGTGATCCCATGTGCTATACCTAGTAAGATATCTATGACCTATATTTTGAAGTACAGTACAGTTTATCTGACATAAGCTGGTGTAAAGTTGATCTTAATTTTACTGTATGTGTATTGAGTACAACGTATTGGCTATTGTAATTACAAGTTGTGGAATGTTTCAGTGAGTATTTGTTATTCTTGAATATTTTGTTTGAGCTGATTTTTTAGTAAGGGGTTCTTTTTCTTTAATAGCATTTTCTTATTTATTGATGCTTCTATTATTAATATAAGAAGGAATTGTTTTGATTTGTTTACCAAGTTTTCTTGGCTGCTGATGTATAACTATTTGTTTACTTAGTAAACTAGTGGTAAAGCTTCATGTGGGACTAATTAGGTTTTTTAACACTTACTGTACCATGATCTATTTCAGTGATTTTCAACCTTTTTCATCTCACGGCACAGTGAGCCAGGCACTAAAATGGTCGAGGCACACCATCAATATTACCGAAACTTACAGCTGGCAGTGAAGATTGGCGGATCTACACTATGGAATTAAGGAGAGAATTTAAAACCGCCATTTGGGCTTTTAATGAACATCACATTTGTTTATTTATTGCATCATTGAAAAAAAGGAGTTTAATGCGCTCCATAAAAGTAACAGTAACGTCAAAATGCATCCAAATGCTATTTTTTTAAATGCTATCCAAATGCTATTTAAACTCCCGCGGCACATCTACGGATGCTTCGTGGTACATTGGTTGAAAATCGCTGATCTATTTGGTTGACAAACGTCTGGAGTAATGCAGCTTGCCAAACAGTGTGTAATGTTAGGAGAATATTGTCTTCAGCAACTCTCTTTGGGTTTGGGCATACACCACGATCTTGAGCCTCGCAGTTTCGCATGGTCGAACCTTGTGGCTATCCATTTCAGGGAGCTGTACCCCTCTTCCCTTGCTCACTGTCCTCCCCTGTGGTCCGAGCCCTCACAAAGGCTTCTTCTCTTGGTGCACCAAAAGCAGCACTCTTGGACGGTAAACAGGCCATCAGTTTGTACTTCCAGGGACGTAGACAGGTGCGTAATTTGCCTGTCTCGCTGTACACAAACATGCACATAATCCCAGCATTTTACCTTTTTTTTCAGTTTTGATTTTGCTTTGACACACAACAGTCAATATACACCTGATACTACATGTAAAATTATATACTTTCTCCAGTGAACTATATACAGTACATTGCATATGCTGAAGGCCATTGTATATCAAACCTGTCTTGCACCGCTCCTGCTCACGTAGCTGCAACAATAGATATCAAGTCTGTTAGCAGCAAAGCACGTATCGGTAATGGGAACTTTTTGAGAAGTGTTAGGTTAGGGTAAAAGATATATACAGCTACTGAACAGTGCACGTTTTATGTGTTAGGGGAGTTTTTGTAGATGCCTGTTGTTAGTGGTCTCTAAACACCTTCAATTTTGTAGTTGTAATACTGTATAAACAAACTTGTGTGATACCTGTACTAGGTGTTTGGAGGGATTATACTGAAGCGGAGAATTCACATTTACCTTATATGGGATTCCTTACCCTCTTTACACATTATGTCATTAAAAACCATGTTAGGGGATTACTACTGTATGTGTTTAAGTGACTGAAGGTTCTTATTTTTTGCATGCAAATTGTTTCAGACCAACAGTTATGAATGTGAGTATATCATGCATGTATTGCTTGCATGCTCACTGCCAGCTAATTCACTACAGTAGCTCGTAAATTTTGCTACTTTATATGTGGTACAGTACTGTAGTTGTATCATTAAATACACTCATTTATTCTTAGCTGTATATAAGCCCTTCAAAAGTTGTGTGTTGTCTCTTCCAGTTATTTGTAATTTGTAAAGACAAAAGAACAAAATTAATACTGTATCTTTTTTATACTGTTGATACTGGTAGAAACATGTGTTCATATTTTCTTGGTTATTGAGTCAATCATTCTTGGAGGGTTAGTATCTTCATTCATTGTTTTCTTGGAAATTTTGTCCACTACTGTACTTCTCAAGAGGGTTTTCTTTGTTCTATCTAGGAGGGTTATTTTCTTTTTACATTTGTGTACAATTCTTTTTTCTTCAATCATTACTTCCAGCCCCCACATATACACCTTCACTGCACCACCCACCAATGTTAGTATCCTTGCACTTTTATGTTCATCCACACTTTAATTCAGTCAAATTCTTAATATCTGCAATACTGCTATCATGTGTGTAGTGGGCCACCAATTCTACTTGTCATTATTTGAATAAATTCAGTAGTAACTCTTGCCTCTCGCCACTGTGTCTGGGGTCAGATGTGCAGAGTGTTATCGAGTGTGACCTTACCACGCATTGCTGGTGTTCTCTTGGTACTCCAGTTTCCTCCTGTATTAACACTGGACAATGAAGGTCACAACATTGAACAGAACAACTGCCAGAATGGCTAGTGTGCTGAGATTGGTGAAATGGAGAAAAAAAGCCTCATCACTGACTAGTCCATCACTCTTTCCTCCTCTTCTAACCATTCACATCTGATGATCTGTCTCCTTCCTTTCTATATTTTTATTGCCATTTCCATGTGGATTGTGCCATTGAAATCCAGTCCATCAACCCCCTCTTCTCTCTGTCCCAGTCATGCTCCTCCCTACTCCAGGCAAGTTCCACTTTGTCAATATTAACTTTCTTCATTTATCACACTTCTTGACTATACTGAACTTCACTTACTTTTACTTTAAACTTTGGTACTTCCTGCTCTCTAACGTGTTTCTATTGTCATACAACTATTTAACCTTTACTCAGCGGGTACGGACCCCTCACCCAACATGCACAAAAATGTGTTCCATAAAACTCCCACAGATGATGGCTGCCATCCCTACAGCTAACTTCCACCAATGATGTAGGGATGTAGGGATGGCAGCCCTACAGGTAACTTCCACCAATGATGACCAATGTTTAAGGGGTCAAACGTGTGGGATACACTCACCTCTCAAGAATTTGTTTGATTTTTGTATTATTCTTTAAATATGAATGCTCTGTCAGTGTTATTACCCCTGCAGAGGAAACACTCGTCTTGTTTACCTCAAATAAATCCGCTTCACTATTACTGTATATGAAAAAAAATCTCCATGGGTTGTTTGCTTCATTCTTCTTTCAGAGCTCGTTTTCTTTTTTTCTTTAAATCTTTTTCTTCATTAATTTTAAATTATCTTCATGCAGTATTTTTTTTTGGGGGGGGGCAGATTATTTTCTTCATTCTTCTTTAATGTAAAAGTTTAATCATTCTTCCTTCTTGTATTATATTCTTCATTCATTCTCAATGATTGATTTACTCCATTTACTATAAAATGATTACCATCTTCATTCCTTCATGGAGAGTTATTTTCTGTACTCATTGTTTTTGTTTGGGGTTCTGTATACTGCACAGTAATGTACAGATATTCTTCTTTCATTAATTTTGGGAGAGTAATTTGATTAGTTCTTACATTCTTTGTGTTATACAGTGCTCCTCTACTTACAGACCAATTATTTTCCTGAGGCTCGTTAATAAGTCCAACTTTACCCCTGCAGTTAGTGAACAGTAGTGTAAAAAGATTAAAACCTAAAGGATGTACTACAGTATACAGTCATGCACAAAACTTCTGTCGCCTCTCCTGCTGCTCCACATACTCCAAGAATCAGATTCTCGAACCTGAAGCAGTAGACTCTGAAGCATTATTTTGTCCATAAAGGCTTCAGATTCACTTGTCTGAATCTTGGGGTTTGTGGTTCAGGAGAGATGACAGGACTTTTGTGAGTGACTGTACATTACAGTTATGCTCCAATAATACTGTATATACATACAGCATATTACAGTACCATATCTTAACAGCACTTAACAGTATTTAAAGTATAAATAGCTTATAGTAATATTGCAGGGAATAAGTACATTACAGGGCATATGGACAGGTTTATTTGTATCAGTGAGAGTTCATAAGTACAATGATGAGTATATTCATAGGAGCACCTATATATGTTGTATTATTAATTTTTTCATTCTCAGAGGTTTATTTTATTTATTCTTGCTAGAGTTATTTCATTCAGATATACTGTATCTAACCTTGAGGCATTCATCAACTTAACATCATCCCTCACACACCACAGTACAGTATTACAGTATTTTCCATTCCCCCCACACACACACACTCATTTTTTGGGCATTCTTCTAATCTGAGTATTTTGTATTTTTCCTTTCTTATAAACAGTACAGTACACAGTGTATATGACAGAGAGAGAGAGAATTATTTCTACAAAACAGGGGCAGATCCAGGGGGGGGGAGGCTTCCTGGGGGTCCAGACCCTCCATTTTCATCAGAAAAGTCCAATATAATGCAGTACGTATTGTACTCGGGCATTTTTGTAAAGTAAAAAGTAATTACTATTGACTACTATTGGTCAGATTTCAAAAAAATTTCTGGGGGGCTTACAATGTCTCCCCCCACCCCTGCTGGGTGAGCTCACTTTGCTCGCCATGTTTCCCCATCCACAACTTCTTGGACCCTCCCCCTTTTTTATATTCCTGGATCTGCCCGTTATTCCAGTTTATCAGAACAAGTTTATGAGATTAGATATCACTAGGGTAGGTAAGGTTTTGACTATCATATGCTGCTGTACTGCATCGTGTAGTGATTTTCAGAGCAACATGGTGTTTAGGCAGTTCAGATTAAGCAACGCACAGCTGTTTAAATACTGTACTGTATCAGATTTTTTCTTTAGTCTATATGTAGTTCAACTGCTTAACTTTCATGGTCAATAATTAGGCTTCCAATGTATTAATGGATAAAAATGAATGTTAGCAAAAATGTGAAGAAAGAATGTCTCCTTTTGTTTTAAAATGCAAGAAAGGGAAGCCTGCTACAGAGTGAGCACTTTTCCTACATATTGAGATTTAAACTAGTTAGTGTTTTATTTTTTATAACTATTATTTTCTTAATACAATAATGTACTTTTATTTACTTATATATTAATTGTATTTATTTTATTTTTGTTTCAACCTAAAGTATCAGTAAATTTATACTCAAGAGAATTTTATTTTTCCTAATTGTGTATGGGATGGGTGTCTGCTATGGTATTTTTTTTTTTTTTGTGTGATGACCAAAAATTATTTTTCCAGGCCCTCTACCACCGTGAAGTTGCTTCTCGTAACAACAACAACAACAACAACAACAGTAGTAGTACCAACAGAAATGGGGAGCTGGACCCAGAAGTCACACTTCAGTTTCTTAAGTCTGCCATCTATTACTTCCTCACCGATAAGGATAATTCAAAGGGTCACCTCAGGGCAATTGAGAGTATTTTAGGTTATTCAGACAGCGAAAGATATAACATTGATAAAGTTGTCAAGTGAAAACCTAAAAGTATAGTTATTATTATGATGATTAATATTGTATATTTAGCATCAAATGAACCAAAATTATAAGATGATGCTACAAATAATATACATTAAATAAATATCACTTTTACAGTGACTGTGATTAAAATGCTTAAATTAGTTACTGTGATTTGCTAGTTTATTATACAATGATACAGATGATATGCAATTTCACACTTATAATTTATGCAACCTGTGATAAATGAACAGTTAGGACTTAGTATTATACAGATTACAGGTTGTGAATCTTAATACCTTTGTCACGGCTCACTTGTATACACTTCACATAAGAGTCTATTGATAATATGGGGCCTTAGAGGTATAGGGTAAGAATTGCTAATCCTAAGAATGATAATTAAATGTGTTTTGTAGTACAAGTTCAACAAATGTAAATGTTCTATATTTTTTCATTATCTTTTGCTTTAGCAATGAATTTAATACAATTAAAAAGATCACCTGAGCAAGAAAAGTACTTGTAGTTTGTTTTTCAGTGATATCTCATGATGCATTGTGTTGCCAAAAGAAGAAGCTTTATTTAACTGCTTGTCTGTACATAGAGCATTTCACTCTTCAATTCATCCTCCTAGAATCTTATTAATTCAACTTACTTGTAACTACATGAATTGCAAGGACTTTTTTTAAACCTTTATACATTTTTAAAATCTAATATTTAAAATTTGTCAGTAGTAAGAAGTTGTAACACTTGCTGTCAATCATAGTGCATACATTATTGTTGGGAAAAATATTTTGAAAGAATCACTTGATATTGTCAGTCAGCTTTAAGGGACAACTACAGGAAACAAAAACAAATAAATAAAATTACAGGAGACAAAACAAATTAATAACTAGTATTAAATTCCTCATCAGGAAAATAGAAGAGGAAGTAATTATAATCTATATAAGTTTTCTTCACTGTATTGTAATTGTTCTTATTTTTACTACTGTAATGTTTATATTTCAAGAGAAAGAAAAGAAAATAATAGTAAAAATTTTTGTGTGACTGGTAGCTAATTGGTTACTGAATTACTGTACAGGTATTTCATTAATGAACTATCATTAAAAAAATATTATTCATGGAAGTGAAATTTTATTGCACAGTACAGAACTTGTATGTAATTTCTCCCCTACAAAGCTTAACCTGGAGACAAGGATTGGTGATCTTAAACATAATTTATATATACTCTACTATTTGTACATTAGTGGTTAATATCCGGGGTAATGGTTAGCCAGTGCAGTTGGCGAGTTGCCCAGCATTCTCGGATTATTCCTTGACGATGGGTCATACAGCGAGTTAACTTTGGGTGTGGAGGTTGTGTTGGCTACACCTTGAAAACAAATTCATACCTAGGTGGCCCTAGGGCCAGCAATCTTCAAATACGAGGGGCAACCATTATTATATACTATATATTTATTTACTAATTTTCGATGAAAAACAACAAATATTTTAATGTTTATCATAATTTTATTATGGTTATTTTTTTTAGTGAACAAAGTATCATTTGAAGTAGGTTTTTACCAATGCTACGGGATGACTTTGGGAGTTTGTGATGATGGGTTGTGTTGGTGTTATAGTTGTTAATATTAACTGACAGTCATAAGTTGACTATTAGTCTTAACATTATTTTGCAAGTGTTTTATGAAGATCATATTAATCATGTACTGATTTAGTCAGTTAATAAGCACACCAAAGAACTCTTGAGTTGAGTTGGTCATTTGTTCCTGGTCTTGTTATCACGTAGTTATTAGTATATAAGGATAATATAATTTGCTTCTGAACATAATATATCGTCCAAGATTATATATACATTGTATACAGTATAAATCTGTAATGATTATATTGTTAAACGTAACATCATTATTTTTATGCTATCAGTGTTTAGATTACAGACTAAATAGATATTTATCACATTGACTCGAGATACAACGAGTGCTTCCTAAGATAAATAAGTAGATATATACGCTTTCTCATCCTAGTGTGGGATAGTTGTCACTTGTAATGTATGTTGCCTCGGCAGTGAATGTGATATACTGTAACTGAATCTGTAATGGCTTATTTACTTGTTTTGAGAAGTCCAGTTTAGGAGTGAGGGCTGGTTTTAGATATGTAAAAAAAAATAAATTTATTCAGACTAGATGACATACTTCATTACCCTAACCTATACTGTACTGTACTTTGTTCAATTAAGTAATCCCACTGACCGTATATCTCGGCCTACAAGGCGATGGGGGTGTATAAGACAACCCCAAAAATTTTTCAAAAGTAGGTTTTATGCTCTATTTGCTGTATAAGACTACCCCAAGTGTGACACTTACCATTGGGAGCTTACTTACCCAGTAGTCCTTTACCACCCATCCCATTGACCAGCGCTGTTTACACATCCTTGGTTTTTTAAGATAAGTTCAATTCACTTCAAATAATGGCATCAAATGTTACCGGTTGGTGTTGTGTAAACAATAGTGACGTCACTTACCGTAAGCGTCTGTTATTTAACTGGAACAATGTTGGTGTCCAGTAAAATTTTTCCATTTACTTGAAACATATTTACCGATTTATTTGTTTATTTAATAATTTATAATATACTGTATTATATTAAACACGCTGCAAGTATTTTCTTTAATTTATAAGCTTGCTTCGCGAGACGATCGGTGGTGGGACTGTGTTCCGACTGTTTACACCAGCTACCGTATTCTAATTCAGTAGTGTTTCATTAGGATTCGAGTGAAAAAGATTACATACTTACTACATACATTTACTGTATTACACAAATATATATACACTATACAGTGAACCCTCACTTTACACGGTTAATTCAACCCACGGCAGCCCGCGTAAAGTGAACAACATAACATATGGGATTAATTGAAATAGAGACCGGGCCGACCCCCAAACTCCACTTTTTCAGACACAATACCTACGTTGTAGTAAAAATAACTTCTTAATTTTATGATGGTATGCACACACAATTAATAATTAAGAGAAAATCAATAATATTAGGTTTTTTAACACCTTACATTAGTAGAAAAGATGGTCAAAGTAACACGGGACGGGGGTTGGTTCCGAGGCAGAGGGCAGATTATTGGCCCTCACCTGTATCACTTGTATCAATTGTATCACTATCCACCACAGAAGCTTGCAGGGCCTCTTTGTCAAACCCCTCAAAGTCCATATAAGTCATTTTCGCTCCGTATTCACAAATGAAAACCTAGCACAGTTTCCAGAAGTTCATAAGGTATATAACGACAGTATAGAAAATATGTTGATGAATATCAATATTACTAGTAACGATGTGCTTAAAGTAATTAACAAACTGAAGCCTCATAAATCGCCTTGGTCCAGACGAGGTATATGCTAGAATATTAAAAGAATGTAGAGATAAGTTGAGGAATCCATTAGCAGTTTTATTTAATAAGTCATTAGAATCGGGCCTAGTGCCAGAAGCTTGGAAACTTGCAAATGTAGTTCCGATTTTCAAAAAGGGTGATAAATCAATAGCATCAAATTATTGTCCCATTAGTCTCACGTCAATCATAGGCAAGTTGCTAGAGTCAATTATTGCTACAAAAATCAGAAGCCACCTTGAAACATTCAACTTAATTCATTCTTCTCAGCACGGGTTCACCCAGGGACGTTCTTGTCTCACAAATTTGCTTAGCTTTTTCTCAGAAGTATATGAAGCGGTAGATAATGATAAGTCATATGATATAATTTATTTAGATTTCAGTAAAGCATTCGATAGAGTCCCTCATGAGAGATTGATAAGGAAGGTAGAAGCACATGGAATAGGTGGACCAGTATTAAAATGGATTAGGTCATAGTTAACTGGTAGGAAACAAAGAGTCAGCATAAATGGATTAAAGTCAGACTGGGGTGCGGTCAAAAGCGGAGTTCCCCAGGGATCTGTATTAGGCCCTCTGCTGTTTGTTATATTCATTAATGATCTTGGATTTAGGCATAACTAGTAGGATTAGTAAATTTGCAGATGATACTCAAAATGGGGAGAGGATAATTCAGACAGTGACTTTGAACACCTTCAAAGAGATCTAGATACTCTTACATGAGTGGTCAGAAATTGGCAAAATGAATTTTAATACTGATAAATGCAAGGTACTACAGATAGGAAGACTAATACAAACGGGCGCAGGCGATAAACTAGGTAACACGGAAATAGAAAACTCAGTTTGTGAAAAAGATCTAGGTGTATTTGTTAGCAACGACTTGAAACCTAGAAAAACACGTATTAGCGCTCTAAATGGGGCAAACAGGATTCTTGGGTTCATATCTAGGTCTGTGAGTAACAGAACTGCTGACGTTATCTTGAAACTTTACTAGCATTAGTGAGGCCACATGGATTATGCGGTTCAGTTCTGGTGTCCTTATTATAGAATGGATATAGATTCTTTGGAGAGAGTACAAAGAAGAATGACAAAAATGATCCATAATATTAGAAACCTTCCATATGAAGAAAGACTGAAAAGCTTAGGCTTACATTCATTAGAGAGGCGTAGAGTTAGGGGAGATATGATAGAGGTGTACAAGTGGGTAAGTGGGATTAACAAGGGTAAAATGGAAGATGTTTTGAAACTCAGTAATAACGAAATAACTAGAACAAATGGCTTTAAATTAGATAAATTCCAATTCAGAAAGGATATAGGCAAGCACTGGTTTGGTAATAGAGTTGTGGATATGTGGAATAGGCTACCGAGTGCTATAGTAGGATCGGGGACGCTAGGGAGCTTCAAGACGAAGTTGGATAGGCACATGGAAGTGCTGGGATGGGTGTGAAAGGGATCTGCCCTGTATGGGCCAGTCGGCCTCCTGCAGTATCCCACTTTCTTATGTTCTTATGTTCTTAAAACGACCCCTAATTTTGGGCTGATTTTTTTAAGGTTCAAATTCCATCTTATAGGCCGAGATATACGGTACTGTAAACTTCTTCACTGTGATTAAGGCTTTCGACAGTGTATCCCACGAAAGGCTGAAATCAAGCTGGAAGGGTACGGAATTCTGGGAATGTCCTAGCGTGGATAGAAGAATCTACATGACTGCAAGCAGTGTGTGGTGATTAATGGCATGAAATCATCATCCGTACCTGTCACAAGCAGGGTACCACAGGGCAGTGTATTGGGCCCGCTGTTGTTTGTTTCTTTCATAAATGACATGCCTGACGTTGTACATTCCTCCATACAAATGTTTGCTAATGACGCCAAGTTATTTCGGGAAATCAAGAACCAAGGGGAATGTGAAGAGCTGCAGAAGGACCTCTGTGGGCTCCAAGAATGGTCGAAGAAATGGCTGCTGAGATTCAATGTCACAAATTGTAAGAGGATGCACCTGGGGCGTACCAACGGTAAGGAGGCGTACCATATGTCCCAACGGGATGAAGAAACTGCACTAGCTGAGACTGAATATGAGAAGGACCTAGGTGTGTATGTTGACAATGAGCTGAAGTTCTCGGGCCATTGCAAGAAGAAGGTAAACCAGGCAAATAAATTATTGGGTCTTACTTTTACTTTTTTTACTTTATCCTCGCCACTGATCGCTTTGTTAGCCGGCTTGGGCGATCGGGTCACTTGCATTTTTCCTTTATATTCTTCACCAAAAGGTCGGCTCGCTAGCCGCCCGGGCGATCGGTCACGTCTCTGTCACGCACTGTTGGCAAATACTGGGCATGCACCGGCTCCTGAATGTACCTGAACCCGCTCCAGTGTTGGTCAAGTCTTCTCTTGAAAGAGCTCACACTCGGTGCCGTCACAACACTTTCTGGTAGATTGTTCCAAGAGTTTACAACCCTCCCTCCGAAAAAGTTTGCCCTCACGGTTTTCCGGACTTGCGGCTTCTTCAATCTTGAGCTGTGACCCCTTGTGGGGCGAGCGTCCGCCAGCTCCAAGTAAGGACACTCAACTGAGTAGTGCCCCCTGAGATGCTTATAAACCTCAACTAGGTCCCCCCTTGCCCATCTGTAGTATAAGCTAGGCAAGTTCAGGCGCTCCAATCTCGCAGGGTAGCTGAGATGCCGAAGTGCAGGCACCAGCTTGGTGGCCCTCCTTTGAACATTTTCAACCAACTGACAGTCCCTAGCATATCTCGGGGACCAGATGGGGTGACAGTACTCCAGATGGGGAAGCACTTCACTCCTGAAGATCGTCACGAGGGACGGACCGTCTAGATATCTGAACGACCTTCTTATAAGACCCAATAATTTATTTGCCTGATTTACCTTCTTCTCACAATGGCCGAGAACTTCAGCTCATTGTCCAACATACCCACCTAGGTCCTTCTCACACACAGTCTCAACTGATACATTTTCTTCATCCCGTTGGGACATATGAGTCGCCTCCTTACCGTTTAGTCGCCCCAGGTGCATCCTCTTACACTTCGTGACATTGAATCTCAGCAGCCATTCCTTCGACCATTCGCAGGCCCTAAGAGAGTCCTTCTGCAGCTCTTCACAGTCCGCCAGTTTCTTAATTTCCCGAAATAACTTGGCGTCATCGGCAAACATTTGTATGGAGGAGTGTACAACGTTCAGATATCTAGACTGTCCGTCCCTCGTAACGATCTTCAGGAGTGAAGTGCTTCCCCATCTGGAGTACTGTCACCCCATCTGGTCCCCGAGATATGCTCGGGACTGTCAGTTGGTTGAAAATTTTCAAAGGAGGGCCACCGGACTGGTGCCTGCCCTTCGGCACCTCAGCTACCCTGAGAGATTGGAGCGCCTGAACTTGCCTAGCTTATACCACAGACGGCCAAGGTGTGACCTAATAGAGGGGTATAAGCATGTCAAGGGGCACTACTCAGTCGAGTGTCCTTACTTGGAGCTGGCAGACGTTCACCCCACAAGGGGTCACAGCTCAAGTTTGAAGAAGCCACACGTCTAGAAACTGTGAGAGCAAACCTTTTTGGAGTAAGAGTTGTGAACTCTTTGAACAATCTACCGGAAAGTGTTGTGACGGCATCGGGTGTGAGTTCTTTCAAGACCAGACTTGACCAACACTGGAGCAGGTCATGTACATTCAAGATCCGGTGCATGCCCAGTACTTGCCAACAGTGCGTAACAGAGACGAGACCGATCGACCAAGCGGCTAACGAGCCGATCAGTGGTGAAGAGGATAGAAGAAAAGGAAATAACGGTACTATTGTCTGGAAGTGTATCGTATGAGATCAAACACCTTCAGTAATCAAGGCTTTATTCAACTCATAAATCCATATACATCTGCAACAGAACAAAACAATACCCAATTAGAACAAGAGTAAAGGTAAACACAAACATAATTTATTCCATAATATGACAAAGTGTACGACAATTTTGACACAGAAACGACAATTTTTGGTTCAGCAGTCGAGTACGATAATTCCCATCTTAACCAGAGTTGCCAACTTAGCTACTTTGTAGCTAGATCTAGAGCTTTGTTTTTTCTAGCGACATTTTAGAGCGATTTGCGACTTGTCCCAAATCTAGAGATATCCACAGAAATCTAGCGACTTTCTGGATACTTTTGGACTGTCCATGAAAACTCAGTTTTCCTAATTTCGAGCCATAATATATAGCAACGGGGTTACAGGGACAATACATTTGAACGGGTTGAACTCATAAAACAACTTCGTCAACGCTTACCTGACAACATTCGTGTGCTGCAGTCTAATTCTTTTCTGAGTGCCGATGAATGCTTGAAGCCTATTAAATCAGATATACTTGGTTTGGCACACTTATTTACAGAAGATTCCAGCACCCTTACCAAGATTGATTTCCAGTGGAAAAAACTGCATCACACTATCTGGACAGAAACATCTAACACCCTAAAATTGTGGTCAGAAGTGGCAAATTAAAGAGATGCGACAGGTGAAAACCCTTACCATGATCTGGCTGAAATTGCACTCGCTGCCTTATCTCTTCCGCATTCAAACGCAGATGTAGAGCGCACATTTAGTAATATGAACTTTGTGAAATCAAAATTGCGCAACAAAATGAAACTATCGACATTAAAGGCAATTCTTACAATAAAGTATGGGTTAAAAAGACAGAACACCTGTTGTGCAAGTTATGAACTTCCTAGTGATATTTTAAGAAAGATAGGGACTGTGGAGGCATACAGTTACAAGAGAACCTGAACCAAGCACTTCACATGCTTCCAGCTCTACAGTTGTTCACACTACCAAGAGGACTGGGATGCAATTACTATTGAATAATAGGTAAGTGTGCACATTAAACTTTAAAAAAAAATAATATTTTAATTTTTACATAATTCATTTTATTTATACTCCGTCCATTATAGTCGGCATTATGAAAATATAATTTGCATCAAATTACTGAAGGGGGGGAATAATAGCTAGCGACTTTCCATGGAAGATTTAGCGACATTAGCTACTTTTAGGTACCAGCCTAGCGAGTTGGCAACACTGATCTTAACTGCCAATCAGCCAAGACAAATCACGAAACTCAAACAGTGGTGGCGGCACAGCTGACTCCATATGAGGGTATTGTATCCTCTTCGGGAGAATATTAACGTGTTGTAGTCAGTATTAACCTTCACTTGTGACAAAAACATACACAAGAGACGGCCTAAGGAGTGTGAATGCGAAGGAACAGTGATGGAGGAGACAATTCCTGCCATCGAGGGAACACTGGTCGCTCTCAGTCACACATTGAAGTAAGTATGTCGCTATATCTACTGTAGTGTATACTGTACTACATATAACCTTTTTAACTGAGAGTCTTATAAACCTTTTCTTTCTACTATGTTGAAATTTATACCATGAAGGTCGGTTTTTTATTCATAACACGGTACGTATCAACAATATTTTCAAAGATAAACATTACAGCAAATCGTAAAATAATAGTCATTATCTCATTACAACGTGAAGTAACAACGCAGAAAAAGGCCAGGTAAATTTGCACTAATGCACACAACTCTGTTATAAAGTCAAAACTATATTTTTCTAGTGTATATGTGTGTGTTTTGATTGGTTTTGACCTTGATTTCCGTCGGAAATTGCCCGTTTTGTTTTTTTTTTAGTTATCGGAGGTTTTGGGTGGGTCGTTTTCCGACAAAAATCATGGCCAAGCCAATACAAAAAACTCGCCAAAACACCAGATAACATAAACCGTACCTGACCTGACCTAACAACATAACCTGACCTAACCTAAAGAACATAAGAATGGAGGAAACTGCAGCGGGCCTATTGGCCCATACTGGGCAGTCCCGTTTACACCCAATCCCTGTTGCTCATATAAGCATCCAACCAATGTTTGAAGCTATTCAGGTATTCGAGTTAATGATGATATTTGGTAACTTGTTCCATTCATCCACTACTCTGTTTCCAAACCAGTGTTTACCTATTTCACGCCTAAATCTAAATTTGTCTAATTTAAAACCATTGTCACGAGTTCGCTCCTGGTTGGATAGTTTGAGTACCTTTGTAATGTCCCCTTTGTTTAGCCCTGCCTTCCACTTATACACCTCTATCAGGTCGCCCCTCGCTCTCGTCTCTCGAGGGTGCAAATTAAGATGCTTTAACCTGTCTCTATACTCAAGGTTCCTAATGCCCGGGATTAGTCTTGTCATTCTCCTCTGAATTCTTTCCAAGGATTCTATATCCTTTCTGTAATACGGTGACCAGAACTGAACTGCGTAATCCAGGTGTGGTCTCACAAGAGCAAGATACAGTTTTAGGATGACCTCGCTAGTCTTGTAACTAACACTCCTTTGTATGAACCCAAGTACTTTATTAGCCTTGTTACGAGCAAAAACACATTGTTTACTTGGCTTAAGGTTCCTACTTATCATTACTCCTAAATCTCTCTCGCAGTCGGATTTCTCTATGGCATCGTTGTTCATCTGGTATCTGGTTTCCCTGTTTACATCTCCTATACTGAGTACTTTACATTTGTCCACGTTGAATTTCATCTGCCATTTTTCAGACCATTCGAAAAATTTGTTTAGATCTTCCTGTAGTTTTGTGGAGTCCTCGTCAGATTTAATAACACGTCCTATTTTAGTGTCATCAGCAAATTTGCTTATGTTGTTGTCTATGCCGATATCTATGTCGTTTATGTATATAATAAATAATAATGGTCCAAGTACTGAGCCTTGGGGAACTCCACTTGTGACGTTGCTCCAATGGGACTTAGTGTCATTAATGCTCACTCGCTGTTTCCTGTAACCACGCCCTAATCCATTTAAAGATATTACCTTTGATGCCATGTGCTTCTACCTTTCTAATTAGTCTTTCGTGGGGGACTCTGTCGAAGGCTTTGCTAAAATCGAGATATACCACATCATAATTGTGCCCCTCGTCCACCGATTCGAAAACTGATGAAAAGAATGTTAATAGATTAGTTAGACATGAACGTCCGCTTGTGAAGCCATGCTGGGAATCATTGATCAATCGGTGCTTCTCCAGGTGATTTCGAATAGAGTTTGAAATGATTGCTTCCAGTAATTTGCCTACTATTGATGTTAGACTGATTGGGCGGTAGTTAGAGGATAGTGATCTATCCCCTTCTTGAAAATCGGTATTACATTCGCTATCCTCCAGGATTCTGGTACTACACCTGTTTTTAAGGACATGTTAAACAACTTTGCTAAGGGCATACTAAGCTCTTCCTTACATTCCTTTAATACTCTGGCAAATATCTCATCAGGACCTGGTGACTTATTAGGCTTTAGTTTGTCTATTTGCTTACTAACATCGTTACTAGTCACTACTATCTCGCTTAACTATCTCGCTTAATTTGTTTTCTTCACTATCTCTGAATAGAGTCGGTGCCTCGGGTATCATGTTTAAATTTTCGGTGGTGAAAACTGTTGAAAAATATTTATTCAAATTATTGCTCATTTCTCTTTTTACTCCATATAATTGAAGTGACACCCATCGCAGACTTCCATGGTCGGAAATTAATTTGAATTTCGAAATATGAGAGTCCCAAAATCACAATCGAATCTGATTGGGCAAAAAATACCACAAATTAAACCACAATTCATTTTAATTGGTGGAAAAAAAACGCTTTTGATTGGCCACGTGACGTGTACTGGAACGCATGTGCGTGACAATTTATTTATTATTTTTTTTTATTACAGGCATTAGCCCACCCGGGCACAGGTCATTTTATGACCCACATCAAGGCCTGGGGGGCAAAAATATAATAAAATAATAATAATAATTATAATAAAATAATAATAATAATTATAATAAAATAATAATAATAATTATGATACATGAATAATAATAATAATAAGATTAATAAAACTTAACATAAATAATAATAATAGTAATACTAAGGAGCCATAAATGAAAAAAAATATATCAATAGTGAGAAACAATATATGTACTGTATGTTGTGTTGTCAATGTAAGAGAAACAATTGAGACCCTGCAATTGTGTGTAAATGAGGCAGAAAGTCAGATCAGCAACCTGGGACTTGGTCACAATTTTTGTGATGCCATTCGGCAGCAGGGTCTACCATTAGACAACCCATTATGCTTCCAATATCTTCCCAGGCAGTAGTACTGTAGTGGATTTCTCCCCTACAAACGCTGTTTGTCGCTGAGTAGCCGATCCCGCGAATTCCCCAGTGTATGCCTCGTGGTATGGGTCAACCAGCGCCGCCATACATCACGGAGGTCAACTACTAAGCCACGCCTACCCCCGCTATTTAAGACCTGACCTCGTGGTGACCTCTCACTTCTTCTAGCTACAGCCGCAGCAAGCTACACCTCCTCCTCCGCCGCTGCCTGGCGGCCCTCGCTCCTGCCGGCGAGCATGGCGACCCACAAGCTGTCCTTCTCTGAGCATCCTCACCAACCAGCTCTCTCTACGTCACGCTTGTAACCATGCTGCCTTCCCAGCACCAAGCTGCATTGTACATCCAATACAACATGTATACAGAGAGCACATTGTGAGTTTCCTTTCTCCATCCCATCCTGAGTGTGAACCCAAACATCCCACAGTACCTCCCTGTTTGGTAGCTGCCTACTACCAATATGAAGGAAACATGCTGAGTGGGAGGCTGGATAGGCAATAATGGCAGAAGATTAATAGAAGGAAATAGAGAATGATTTTTCATGCTCTATGTCCGTTATACGTTTGCGACGGTAATGTAATAGAAGAAAATTGTCTTATAATTAGATGCCTTTTTCAAATTTGATAATAGATATGGGGTAGGAAAGTTGTGTGCACTAATGCAAAAATACCAAAGGTAAAATTTTAGCGATAAACAGGGCAAGAGTATTTTTTGTCCAAAATAGGGGAGGCATGAACAAAGGGGGGTTATGTTAGGTTTTGTTGGTTGGTTGGTATTGCATTTGTGATTTACTCGGAAAAAATCCAACTTTTTACGTTAAGATTGTTGGGTAATGAATATCAACTTCGTTTAAAGCTCATCAAATACCATAGGAAAAACATATTTCTAATATCAAAAGAAAGACTAGTGCCAGATGTAAACAAATCATGGTGACACTTGTGACTGATGAAATCTAATAATATTGAAAAATTAATATCTCGGTTATCCTTAATTTCCGACTGAAATATCATAGAAGATAAATGTCTTAGAATTGTCTAAACATTACAAAATACATATTAAAAACAGTGAGAAAGACCGGTGCATGATTAAAAATCGACCATTCCCCCCCACCTGCCCACCCAACAATCATAATGGAAAAAGTTGGACTTTTTTTAATAAATAGCATAAATAAAATACCAACCAACTAAACCTAACCAAGCCAAACCAAACCAGGGTTGCACTTCTTTTGTTTCTTACTGTTCGGCTGAAGAAAACTGTGGTGACACCGCCAAATGTGTTGTTCCTCACGCAGTGTGCACTGATTATTACACTACTGCATTTTGTTTATACTTTGTATGTACTTTTCTGTGAGTTGGATTGAATTTTCGGTTAACGAATGACTCTGGAACTGTGTATATATATATATGTGTGTGTAAAGAAATGAGGATATGTTTTCACATGTATGCACTTACTGTTTATACGTTGGCATTCCCAATCATCTCGCTTTATTTCTTTACCATTAGTGGTTAGCTACTTTTAGTGTTTCCATTTGTTAACATTAAATAACGTTATTTAAAAATTACATACCGTACAGGTATTCAATTTTTTAAAGCAAGCTCACAAACAAGCAGGGTCTTATTTTCTTCAGTTTCTTGTGTAGAACCATCGTCACTCACGAAAACAATGCCCACTTGTCTCCTCTTGTGTATTTCAATATTCTACGTGTTTTAATATTGTTCATTTCACATATATAAACATTAATTCAATCAAATACTTATTCAGTAATAAACAATAATGAATCTTTTGTACATATTCTTAAGATAAATGACTGTTTCCTTGAGTGCGCACGTACTGTATACATTGGCGTTCCACTATCAGTCTCACCTTTTCTTTAATATCAGTGGTAACTTCTACTGCTCATTAAATAACATGTATTAATACATACATACTTTTTACATTAATTCTACTAAAACAACAACCAGGGTCTTATTTTCTTCAGTTTCAGGTGGATAACTGGCATTATGGGTATAAACACTGACAACAATGCCATCTCTTATCCTCTTGTGTGTTTTAATATTCTACGTATTATTAATGAATTGTATTGTTCATTTCGCATATATATAGGTTAATTCAATCAAATACATATTCAGTCATAAACAATAATGAATCATTTGTACATATTCTTAAAAAGATAAATGACGCGGTATTCTTAAAAAGATAAATGACGCGGTATCCTTAAATGCGCACGTACATTATGTATATGTTGGCGTTACCAATCCATCTCTTTTTTTTTTTCTTTGCCATTAGTGGTTAGCTACTTTTATTGTTCCATTTATTAACATTAAATAACGTTACTTACAACATATATACAGTATAGTCTGGTTTTACTCGGTTAATTAAACCCATGGAGGTCCGTATATAAAGCGAAATGCGTAAATAATATAACAGAACATATGGGATTAATCGAAATAGAGACTGGGCCGACCGCCAGACTACCTTTTTTTTGGCTATCGCCGACACAATACGTACATTGTAGTAAAAATAACATCTTAGTTTTATGATGGTATGCACACACAATTAATATACAGGTATAAGAGAAATATCAATAATATTAGGTTTTTTAACACTTACGTTAGTAGAAGAGATGGCTGGGCACACAGGGATGGGGGGTTGGTTCCTGAGGCAGAGGGCAGATTATTGGCCCTCACCTGTATCTCTATCCACCACAGAGGCTAGCAGGGCCTCCTCGTCAAACCCTTCGAAGTCCATATCCTCACTATCCAGGGTGACATCCGCATATAACCGAAGGACATGAATTAAAAATCCGTGAATTGTGAGGGTATGCTGTACCATGTATTGATTTACATCTGGGGGACCTCCAGTCACCTTGCTGTAAGGTAGTGAAGGTGCTCGAGTGCAGTGATGTCCACTCTAACTTCTTATGCAATGGAAAAATTTGTTCATCAGTATGCTGCATCCACACTGCCCCTAACAGGCTGTCAGACTAAAGGAAAATAATTTTAACTTTTGGTTACTTTATATTTGTATACTATACCAATAATGATTTATATTATTGCAGAATCAATGGCATCCTTCTCCTGGCTGAACTCTGTTGTCAAGGAAAAATACAACATGTTTTGGCGAGACAACCAACCCACATTCCTTGGCAGCAACAGATGCAACTCTTTTCTAGAGTTAGGATAACAAATTTGAAGACTCAAATTATTAGTGAGGTTAGTTTCTAATTTTTTTAAATACTTCACAACTCCACCTTTATTAAGAATAGAAATTTCTCTAGGGATTCTTTATATGACAAGTATTGTATTTCATTATTCAAACATTGACCCATGGACTGTTGCCAGATGATCACATTAGTTACCAAAGTGAATATAACAGTTTTTTGTGCTCCCATTACATCCTCCTTGGGCATATTCCAGTAACATGGGAACTAAATGATGACTGTTGTACAGTATTAGAGAATATATGAGGCGGTCTGCATCAGAAGGGGGTGAAGCGCCAAATTAAAACGCTGAGAAAACGCATTTAAAGTTTTTCAAAGTTCAAACAACCACAACTTTTTTTTTATTTTTTAAGCAAGAGGGTTCATTTTTTGTTATCGTGCAGCTCGATCCATCTAGCAAACTGTGAAAACTGGAAGTTAGTATTGTGATTAGTTATTATTTTATCGCGAGTTGAATTAGAATAACTGCCCGTGATGTACAGTTGTTTGAGCTTCAAACCAACAATAATCACATTTTTCTGCAAAATTTTCCTATTATTGTGGGAGCACATACTGTACAATAAGTTAAGGATCACCAAAAGCAGCACTCGTCTTATACACCCCTATAACCACCCCATAACCCCCTGCAACCCACCCAAAAAAAAAAAACATGAAATAATAATATAAAACATTTGCCTATCAATATTTATCTTTCCGTCCGTATTTTGAGGTTGATAACATCGAGCTTCTCTTCAAGTGTTATAGCCTTTCTTTTACGATCATCACTGGGAATGCGATCACCAGAACACTTCTTGGAGATATTCTTCTTTACCATATTCACAGTTAATACCACAAAATTGGAGAAATAGTAAGCAAAAATCTCGTTACAGCAAACAAGCGTTCGCGTTTTACAAATATTGTTCCTCTATTCATAAATCACGTTAGAGCCAATTTGCGTTGTCAAAACACGCGTTATAGCAGAACTCACTGTAGGTAGAGATATTTTGAGCCAGATGACATCATAAAGGGGAGATTCAAGATCCGTGAGTCGGGCTATAGGTGTACGTGTGTTGCAGTAGGCGCATACACCTCCCTTAGAACGGAAGTAGGTATAAAGGTTGTAGTTAGAGACTTGAAAAGGTTTGGGTGAAGCTACTTTGGTCAGTTGAAGTTCGGAGAGTAGTAAGAGGGCGGGGGAAAAGGTTGATGGTGCTCCACAGAAGAAAAATTGGATCTCAGTCCGCGAATGTTGTTAAAATGAAGTGTGAAAAAAGCCGATCCTCCAGCAACCGTGGTGGCGTCAGTTGAGGCACCAGTAGCTTGATGATGATCAGGTCGGCCCTGGGGTCCACAACCTTCCCGACCAGTGGGACCCATCTGAGAAGGCCCCGCTTCAGTATTAATTTCAACTGACATAGAAGAATAAAATCGAATTAATAAAACAGATCAAGAATGAGTACGGTTATATTTGTGGTGTTGTCAATAGTAAGAGAGACAGTTGAGACCTTGCAATTGTGTGTAAATACGCACAAGGAAACCTCCGCTAATTTGTGTTGTAATAGTTGAAATACTAAGTGCCACGAGGATTTTATATTTGGTGTTTATACATCTTAGCACGGTGAGGATATTGAGTGACTTATTTTGTTTACCGTATATCTCGGCCTATAAGGCGTCGGGGTGCATAAGACGGCCCCCCCAAATTTCCATTTAAAAAGTAGCTTTTGAGCTCTTATTTGCTGTATAAGACCAGTACCCCAAATGTGACACTTACCCACTGACTCAGTAGTCCTTTACCAACCGTCCTTGGTTTTTTAAAATAAGGCCAATTCACTTCAAGTAATGTCATCAAATGTTACCAGCTGGTGTAGTGTAAACACTAGTGACGTCACTGAAGCGTCTGCTATTTACCGGTAACTGGAACTAATGTCGGTGTCGAGTAAAATTTTTCAATTTACTTGAAATGGATTTACCGATTTATTTGTTTATTTATTTATTTATAATATACTGTAACATATTAAACACACTGCAAGTATCTTCTTTAATTTATACACTTGCTTCGCACGAGACGATCGGTGGTGGGACTGTGTTCCCACTGTTTATACAACAGCTACCACCATATTCTAATTGTGGTGTTTCATTAGGATTTGAGTGAAAAAGATTACGTACTTACTACATACATTTTACACAAACGACTCTGTGGAACGAATTGTTCGTTAACCGAGGGACCACTGTACTTGTTACTAATATAAAATATTATTTTCGGTGTCATTTCAGGTCCAACCCAATTTTTCTGTGCTGAGGACAACTAAACATTCTGAGATGTCACACCTAGAGGGAGGTGGAGGTGATGATGATGATGATGTGCCTAAAAGTGCATTTCGTGGAGACGTTATTTCATACCGGGTAAAGACTGCATGTTTGTACAACTGTATTTGTATCATTGTAAAGTTGTCAAAGCTGATACATTAGATGTGTCTTTGATACCACCTGAAATGGGAAATTGAACCCCTCATACTCCTTGTCATTCTTGAGAAGTATAGTACCTCCTGATCACTATGAAGTGTCTTCTGTAATGAAACATTTTGAAAACCTAACTTTGAAATTATATCACAGCCAATTTATTACTTAATTGTATGGGGTAAGAAGGAAAAAGTTGAACTCGTTCATAATAAAATGATGCTTGGTAGAATTATTGGGAAGACGTTCCTAAGCAACTTACCAAACATCCTGACCATTCTGAGGTGAGCTTTGAAAAAATGGCGGCTGTTTGCGGTTTTTTGTGTTTTACTCATTGACCATTGGTTTTTAGGAGATGACACCTAACAAAATAATAGAGCTTAAAATTTTGCACATGTTGGTATATTCAACCTTTGTTTACAACTAATACTTTCTGAGAAAATAAATATTTTAGGTTCCCACTGGCCACTCCTCCCCCCCCCCCCTCTGTTTTTTATGCCATGTGATGCCCCTTTCTACACTACCCATGCAGTATAGTACATACTGTACATGGTGCATTTTTTTTTAATGTGGTATCCTTTGTAGGCCTATTCTACATTGAGTGCTTTTATAAAATTTTCATTCTCTTTGCAACTTGTCCAGTACTAGTAGTAATATATGAAATATGTGATTAAAATTTGGTGCTGCTGTGATAATTATTGTCAGCACTCATTCTTAGGATCATCGTCTACATTATAATCTTCAGTATCCTTGTCTCCACTGTCAGTAAGAAGAATTGAAAGATCATCATCTATAGTGTTCTTCAAAATCATCGTCATTGGTACATGCTATTGCTTGACAGTGACTACAGTCGACCCTCGTTAATTCGGACCCCGTTAATCCGGATTTTGGATAAATCGGACCCCAAATTTTTTGCCAAAAAATTTGGGGTCGACCTCTAAATGGGTAATAGTTTCGTTAGGTTGAAAAATATTTACCAGTAACTACCAGTAAACAATGGAAACGACGGACCACCAGCTGTGAGTGTCGGTACAGTTGCCAGGGCAGATCTCTTGCGTCATCATAGCAAGCCCAAAGTAGCCAGATGCATGGTATGGTAGCACAGGATGATGTAAAACATAAAGTACCGTATTTTTTGGCTTAAAAGACGCACTTTTTATGACAAAAATATACCTCGAAAATTACCATGCGTCTTCCAGGATGCTAGTCGATGAGTTGTAGCAGAGGTTTTTGAAATCAGCCCCTTACAAAGACTGTTACCTCATTACAGTACTTAACAATTACAATTATTCTTTATACAGTACAGTGACCCCTCGTTTAACAAACTCAATCCGTTCCAGAAGGTCGTTCGTTAACCGAAACCATTGTTTCAATGGGTTTTTGGGTAATTGGTTCCAGCTCACCGAAAATTTCCTAAATTCAACAAAAATGTTCGGTAGGCTGAGCTGGTGCCGCCTCCCGGGTGGGGGGTTGAGTGGGTGGAGGGTGCACTGCTGCCCCCTGGCCCTGTGTCGGCACACTTGTTTCCACTACCCTCCCCCTGAGTATAACCCATGTACACCTGTCCCCGTTCCTCCTCGACTCCTCCCTCTTCTGCTTCAAGTCCTGCAGGAGTTTTTGTGCTGTTCCCTCTGCATTACCGTGTGGTCTGGGTGAATGAATACATCCCAAAATGCCTCGCTCCTTGCTAAGTTTTTTGTCTGCCGAAGCTGTAGTGTGGGCTCTCAAGCATTTTCGGGATCTCATTTTGGGATATCCGACCACAGTCCACATAGATCATGTAGCCGTGACAGAACTATTTAATGGGAAGAATTTATCAGGGCATTTAGCATGCTGGTATCTAACCATACAGGTATTCGCACCCGACTTCAAGTATTTGTCGGGCTGTGCGATCGTGGGAGCTGATTCTCTATCTAGACACATAGCTCCTTTCACGCCACTACCTACATTCACAGTTAAGGGGGGAACATTTACAGGATCCACTATGGTCCAAGGTTATCTATGCCTTAAAATCAGGAGATGAGGTACATTTGCCCAAATTACCTCTACCACTCACAGTTTGAGCTGTAGCACAACATACTATATTGCTCAGTGAGAACACAAGAGTCAATCTCTTAAATTGTTATTTCTGCATCAATAAAGGAAAACAGCCTCACTCTCTTCCATGATGCTCCCCAAGCTGGGTATCTAGGGCAAGACAGATGTCTAACAGAAATTACCTACGTGCTTATGTTTGAAATAATGATGTATGCATCTTTATATAATTTAGTTAAATATCTTTCTCGTCAGAAACGGTCATCCCAACGATTATGAATAAACTCATTTAGAAATGCATCATTACTTCAGGACAAAATTGGACAGATTTGCAACAGCCAATCAGCTGTAACTTTTAAGGAGGGGGTGGGGCATCTCTTCTCAGCTGGGAAAAAATGCACTATACATCAAAAGAAACAAGGCCCAAAGAAGGAAAGGAAACGGAAATGAGTGATGTTCAAGTAGAGCATATAAAGCAACGGGGATGGAGCAGGACCAGTAGAAACACTCCACACTCACACACAAATTCCCATATTGTATTTCCAACTTGTATACAAAGTAGCCATGTTTAAGAGGGCTGGGAAGCATTAAGGTATAGATAACTGGCTAGCAATGTACAATAGTAGTCCTCAGCTTTTGTATCCATTAATGCATTTCATGAAGATAAAGTTGTACATTCTAAAATTATCCTGAATGCAATATACAATACAGTTTTCATAAATTATAGGGTATCATAACTGCAGTTATTGATGAGGCTTCTGGGATATATGAACTCGATGGCAAGACTCGGCTGGTCATCACCTACTTGCTTGAAGTCACTGGAGAGTTGTGGAATGAAAATCTGGAAAATGTTAACGAGACAAACATACCATCTAACAACTCAACAGAGAAGAATGCACCATACAGATGCCTCGAAGAAGGTGACTCTGTTATGCTCCATCGAGTACATCACACCAAAATTAATGGCACTTTACATCTTATATGCTGTGGACGAAGTTTAGTGGAAAAAAACAGGTAAATAGTTTAGATTTTTCATTTCCTGATGCAGTAAAAAGTTTTCTTGACAGTGAAATAATCTTTTTATTTGTTCATCTTGACAACAGAGAAGCATATTCAATTAAAAGGCATCCATTAGCCTTATTTTAATAAAATTAATTTTTATTTGCTAACACCTTCATCTCTAACTTGATTTTGAAGGTGTTTAACAAAAGAAAGTCTTTATCACATTGTTTTAAGTACTGTACTGTTAAATATTAGTCATCGACCTTACATGAAATTATAATACAAGTATGTGTACAGTATACAGTGGTCCCTCGGTTAACGAGCACAATTCGTTCTAGAAGGTTGCTCGTTAACCGAAAAATTCGTTAACCGAAACCATTGTTTCAATGGGTTTTTGGGTAATTGGTTCCAGCTCACCGAAAATTGCCTAAAATCAACAAAAAAGGTAGTAAAGTACACTTACTCTGAGGTGTGTATGTAGAAGGCTCCTGGATGATGGTAATGATGATGGGATTTAGAATGGGGGTGGAGGAGAAGGGAGAAGAGAAGGCATTGGGGTGGAAGAGAAGTCACCCCATGGTGCCATTTCACCCATAAAATTTTAGTTCACTTGGTGTAATTCAAGATTATTTTCTTTAAATCAACTCTTCACTGCATTATATATTGTCAATATGTAAAATACATTTCAAAATGACCAATAATTTGACTGGAAACACAGAAAAAAAGCATTTGTGTTGAAGAGAGTCTGAAGCAAGATGTTACCTCCACTGAAAAGACACAGACTGACGCCTGTATGGTGTGTTGACAGGGTGTTTGGCGCGCTAAAAACTAGTTTCCCTGTACTTAAATTATGTTAAATAATTGTTAAAATGACTAAAAATATGAATATAAGACATTTAAAATTATTGAATAGTGCAAACTTCTTGATATTTACTAAAATGGTAAGGAATTTAAGCCCTAGAACCGATTACTGTATTGGCGGACTAATACTACAGCTGATGGGCAGCCAAATGCAGGCAAAAACATGTTGGGAAAAATTCGTAACGAATTCGTTAATCGAGGGATTGCTCGTTAACTGAAGTTAAGAATCTTATGGAAGGTAATTCGTTAACCGAAATTTCGTGAACCGAGGCGCTCGTTAACTGAGGGATCACTGTACAGTACAGGTGTTGACTGTTATATGATTGGTTGATATACAATGGATCAGTTTTACTGTGTTAAGAAATTAACACTAAATATCACTATGTGATGGCTAAGATCAGATTTGGTTGTTATGTGATGGCTACTTGAATGTTTTTCTGCATTTTCACTACTATGAAAAATTAATGTGCAATAATTCGCATTATTCCGAGATATGATGACTCAGTCTCAGAATGGCATAACATGTGCAACCCATGCGAGATGTGTGGGAGGCTCTGCTCATCCCCGGTGACTGCCAGGCTGAGCAACTTAACTCACATCTCCCAGAGGATGCTTTGTGTGTGGAAGAAGCTATTCTTTGTATATTAAATAATATATACTGTATCAGTAAATGGGAGAAATAATTGTAAGAAAAGAAAATAATGCATTGCATTTGGCAATTTTGTCATACACATGGAATATGAGACAGCAAACAGCTGAGGACCCCCACTCTGCTCCCCCCCTCCTTAGCTGTGTAATAACTCCTGTGCACATAAAAAAAAGAAATTAATCCCTGTATGTTTTTGACTTTATAATAATTTTATTGGCACATTCTGTATATTAGATTGTGTGTGCATGTAACAGTTAACAATCATAAACACCTAACTCACTATATTATACACCTCTCCCTTCTCTTATCTCAATTATCCCTCAGCTCAATGAACTTTATTTCTTAATCAAGCTAACTTCATTTGGAGCACTTATATTTGAGGGATCACCAAGTTCTCTATTTGTTGCCAATCAGGGTGCACAGACATCATCGTTTCAATTAATTAGCTTGAGCGATAATGCCTGGGTGAGCATCAAGTCACCCGGAAGGGTTGACAGTGCTGAGTTGCTACCATAGCGCTCCATTGGCAACATCGTTCACCATTACTCTAGCAAGATGTATTGGGTTGAGAATTCCACCCTGAATGGTTCTCATATAACCCATACTGAGGATACAAGGTTCTTCCCAACATAACTCTACTGTAGATTGCTAGTAAGACCGGAAGGTCAGCGTCCGGAAGGATCACTAAGACTAGCAGTCTTTCTAAAGTTCGCCTGGAAAGGCTGAACCCGCTACTGAGGACATGAATAAAATAGAGTTATGAAGAGAAGAACTTAACTCTGGCCCGCATGCTGAGAGTAATTAGAAAACCCTGGGCGGAAGCCCGAAAAGTTTTTGTGAACGAACATGAGAAGAGGGAGAAGGATGGCCTCACATATCATGGTATTCATACTTGCACGTGTATAATTGGGACAAAGAAAAAAATTTATATACAGTAATACCCCGCTTTACGCTTTTTTTTTTTTTATGCTTTTCTACATTTATGCGGTACCCTGCCAGAACCGGAATTCCCACTTTACGAGGTGCATCTACTCATATACGCGGGTGAAGTATAATTTTTTTTATTTAGCTCATAAAATTCATGCAAATTACCCGGCCAGAATATAATTTACATTGCTGGAATTCTTACAATTTGATGATCATTTTGAATATAAACATCATAGATTTTGCATTAGACATACAAATTTTAGATCTAATGTAAGAATTTTGTTTACTCAGAGCAAATATGTTATCCTTTGTGCAAAATATATGACGTGTATTGTATATTCAAAATATTCCTGGTCTTGCAAGGAATCCAGCAATGTCAATTATATTATCCTAACTTTAGTCTGAGGTATTATTTATTACTATACCTTAAAATCTAGTGTTTTCACCCAAACATTTCTCAGAGAGGGAGGAGCCAGCGAGCGTGGGAAGAGGGGGAGGGGGGGGAGTTGAGTCCATTATTTGAATGGACATTAACCTGGTGACTGTAATTCTCTTAAATATTAATTGTGTGTGCGTACCATCATAAAATTAAGATGTTATTTTTACTAGAACATAGGTATTGTGTCGGAAAAAGTGGAGTTTGGGGGTCGGCCCAGTCTCTTTTAATTAATCCCATATGTTCTGTTATTCCATTTACGCGTTTCTCGTTTTACACGGACCTCCGTGGGCTCAATTGACCGAGTAAATCGGGGTATTACTGTACAGCATATATTCATATATACGTACAGTAATATGCGCTATAGCGCATTTGGTTATCGCAATTTTCGTTATCACGCCTCCATCAAAATCTGCACACCTGTTTTTATAGCGCATTTTTCAGGCCGAGAATTTGGTTATCACACAGTTGCCTCGGGTGTATTGTTACCCCCTTGCTTCACCTACATCTATTGAGGATAAAATCTTTCACCTACAAATTGACAACAACACATATGCTGTAATCAGACATATCTAAGTTGCCTCAACAGTTGCAACCCCAGTTACAATTTCAAATTCTGTGTCATTACTAAGCAATAACGAAGTCTCGGGTGCACTCTTAAATTGAGAGATTAAAGAGGACTCGGGCGTCCTGAAGCGATGAGAAAATGGACTCCTCAGACAGGGGACTCGAATAAAGAAAGCATAGCTACATGTTTTGTGGACTACAGTATTGAGCGTACCCTTTTCATCGCTTTGTAATAAACCTAGCCATGCCTATGTGAGTTTCTGATACTTACCATAACATTATCTATATCTTTAGTGGGTCTAAATGGTCGTAAAATGGGAAAATCGAGGTTGGGTCTTGGGTGCCTGGAACCAATTAGAATAAATCCCATAGGTTCTGTACTTTCGTTATTACGCATTTCGTTATCACTCACTCGGCGCAGTCCCAATTAGGCGTGATAACCAAGGGATGACTGTATATTCTTTCAGTGAAGACGAGCCCGGAAGGGCGAAAAACAATATAATTCACTGGGGGACCGGTGGTAGAAGCGGTACCATTCTTGCCTCGCAAGCGAGATGTCACGGGTTCGATTCCCGGGCCGGTGGAAGTTGTTTGGACTTACTTCCTAGCCCCATTAGTCCCTGTTCACCTAGCAGTAAAGTAGGTACCTGTTGTAAGTTGAAAGTTGCGAATTCGTATTCAGGGAGTTGTTGGAGCTTCCAATAACTTGATGACATAAACCACTGACTCTTCAGGCTTCTACGCCCTTAACTCATGAGACATAAAGGCAAGCATGAACTTAGCATGCTTCTCTGTTGGGCGCTGTGAACGCTTCTGTGCTTAACCTTACAAAAGGAGGTAGGGGAGTGCCCAATAAAAAAAAATATATAATATATATATATATATATATATATATATATATATATATATATATATATATATATATATATATATATATATATATATATATATATATATATATATATATATATATATGTCACACACACACAGTTCACATTACGCATCCCGCATTCACCGTTAACGCGGTGCCCTGCCGGAACCTAACATGCTCACATTCCGCGGTGCGTGTACCCCATTACGCGGAGAGCGGCTGGCAAGCCGCGCCATTTTTGGATCCAAACCTCCCGCCATCCGCCATGTTGTGTAAGAGGCGCGAAAATGGTGCGCACAAGGTCGCCCAGTCATCAAAACATTACCAGTTCTTCACCCGCCACCCACTACAGCCGGCCCAAGTCAGTGATAGTGATAATTATAGTGAGGATATGGACTTATATGAACTTTGGGGGGTTTGACAAAGAGGCCCTGCAAGCCTCTGTGGTGGATAGTGATACAATTGATACAAGTGATACAGGTGAGGGCCAATAATCTGCCCTCTGCCTCGGAACCAACCGCCCATCCCCGTGTGCCCAGCCATCTTTTCTACTAATGTAAGTGTTAAAAAACCTAATATTATTGATATTTCTCTTAATTATTAATTGTGTGTGCATGCCATCATAAAGTTAAGATAATATTTTTACTACAACATAGTTGTGTGTCGTCAAAAAGTGGAGTTTGGGGGTCGGCCTGGACTCT